TCAAGAAACCCCAGTACACCTTTGCAGTAAAGTCTGTTTTACCATTGTTTCAGTGGTTTTTTGGACAGGATTTGTGGTTTTGTTCTTTGTTACATACAATGCCTCACACAACTGGTTTGTGATCGCAGATCTGTGTCTCTCCAGTGCTACAGCAATCAAAGAAAAATAATAAACAGCATTTTAAGACTCTGGTACTGTAAGTTGATTGTCCAAAGCCACAGAGCAAAATGATGCAGAGCCATTTTTAGCACAGAAAGAGTTTCTATTACCCAGTCTCAATCTCAGACCATTATTTTGCTTCTCTCTAGTAAATGACCTTGTCTCATATTCTTCAATACATCACATGGGTCTTGCCATGCCACTAACAGTGTCTCTGCTCCTCTGAGTCACTACAAAGGCAGTTGGACAGCAAGCAGCTCCTTTTTCTCCGTTTGGCTCTCACAAGGAAGCACTTGGAAGTGCAGAGGTAGACCCTGGGAGTCAGGCAGATGGATTAGATGATGGGCAGGCTAGCAGGCTTCAGAACTGGGAGGGACCCAGCACAGGATACAGACTGAGCACCTGAAAAGGAGCTGGTAGCATGATCTTAACATTAATGACTTTTTTTTCTGACAAATGTTGAAAAATACTTCACTGTTATGAATTGCATTATTAACATGCAAAGAAAATCACCCATTTAGAAGACAACTTTATTAGTTAAGGCCTTTGTGAGGGTCCAGGAGTGTCTCTATGTTATCTGGGCTGTGTCCTGAGAGGGAACTCTCTATCTCCCCAGATTTCATGAGCAATCTCAGAGGTAGGATAGTATTTGGATACACACTCAATCCTTGCAGTATGTCCTTAACACAAGTGTTTCACCTTGTGATTGTGTAGTCATGGTATTCTGGCTTTGCATTTAACTTGATTGGTCTCTTATTCAGAAAAATACTTTGCTTAGCTTGGGAGAAGAAAGTACTGAACTCAACCTGTATCCCACCTATCTGACATGATTGCTTCCAGAAAAATCAATGGAATTATTTGTGCAGGATATGGTCCAGAGTTAAGAAAAATTCTTTAAAGCATGGGAGCAAAAACATGTGTGTCTTTATATGCTGGAATTTATCCATTTTCAGGTGCAAAGAGAGTATTAAGGATCGTGAGAGAGTCCCATAGTGTACAAGGGGGTGAGGCATAGGACAGGGTAAGATGGAATAGGATAAGAAAGGAAGGGAAATAATCTCAGTCAGGCAAATAGGATAATTGTCCAAGTAACTTCTTCAAATCTGTTTCAAGGTGCCTAATTGAGGCCTAGTTGAGGCACTTGGTTTTAAGTTGGGACTTTCTTGAAGTTACAGTTTAAGTAATTAAATTATTATAAAAATAATATTAGAGGTGGGCATAGGCTGGAAATATATTACATTTTTCTGGAAAAACAAACTAATTAAAAATAATTTTATCTTCTGTTTCTTTGCCAAGACCTGTTTTCTGGACTCTGTGCTTCCCCTCAAGAATCCAATGAAATCTCAGGCACCTAAAACAAATAGAGGCAGCATACTCAGGACTTGGCTGGTTGAAAACAAAAAGAAGGAAATAGTTCTTATTTTATTTTTTTTAAGTATCATTTTTATACTCGTGCACATTTTGCTATTAATTTTGGCTAGTAAATACTTAAAAACAACAACTTAACTATTCCCCTTTCATACGCTGTTAAACTCAGATCCTATGTAATCTTGGGTTTCTGTGCTGGCTATTCCCAGGACATAGAGCAATTCTGTATGAAACTTGAATGTGAGGAACGTCTGAGTTGAACAAGGATAGTGTAAATTTTGCCCCTGCTTACCCAAGGCTGTAATGCACAGTGAGCAGAATGACATTTTCTGCAGATCTCCTCTCGCGTGCCTGCCACCACAGAGGCAGAGTTCATCCCAGCAGCCCATTGAGGTCTAGGACTGGTGTCTTTTACACATATGTTCAGTCCACCTCTCCCAGAACCAAAAATGTCAGAAGTGGAGCCTCTTTCTCTGTAGAATGGCTGCCAGAGAGATGAATGGTGCTGAGTTTGATTTGTTTGGATTTGCCTCATCTTTATTTACTTTGGAGTTCCACGATGTTCATCTTGCTGTCTGCAGGATTGTTAAAAATGTGAGTAAAATTTCTGTGTGAATTAAGTTTTAATTGAGGATTTTAAATAAAAAAGAAATGTAACTGTTTAGTTTTTATTCCTAGTAGTTTGTAATGCTTTTCTAATACATTGGGATTTTATGTTCTTTAGCAAAATCATTGTATTATCACTCAGATGTCTCAAACATGGTGATAGATTCCTCTGTAAGGCATTTCTCATCCCACTTCCGTGGGAACTGCTGTGTAGCTGTCGGATTAAGGATTTAACCCTTTGGATGTGGCTACACAGCTACATGGTCATCTTTCAAGATAGGAAAGAAACGTTTATTTTATTGAGAGAACAATTTGTACTTTTATAGTATGTTCCACAGAGCTAAGACAAGACGGTAGCTCATTGGATAATTGAGAAGACACCTCTGGGACCGTACTTCAGGATGAGTCCCACAGCCTGCACCAGGTGTTAATCTTTATTATGAATTCCATTCTGTTTTGACCAGATTATCATCCTGGGAGAAATTCTCCCTACTGAAGCTGACACGTTATCAGCTTGGGAAAGAAGCTGAGAGAGCAGGAGAAGCTCCAGCCTGAGAATGATTTTCCAGGCTGTAATTTTCCTTGATCTCTAACAGTATGTCCACACTGATGGGCAGCCAGCTGAAGAGTAGGTAGGTCATTAAACTGTCATTGAAAACACATAAATAAGTGTATTTTAGTGTTCTTGTATGTTCTCTGGACCAAATGTGATATAAAAATTATGTATGCCCTTATGTGATCTCAGGTTGGGTTTATGTAAGAAAAGAGTTTAAAAATACACTGAATAATTCAGTAGCACATCATGACTGTGGAAACCTTGCCTTTGACTAAGAAAATGGCAGGCAAGTTTAGGTTGGTGAAAGTCATGGCAGAAGCAGGAATATTTTAAGATACAGGCAGGAGAATGATTTACCATGGGGAAGGTCATATGTAGCCTTGCAGTTTGTCAGCCCTTTGCATGAAGTTCCTAGTTTCCCACTTGGAGAGCAGGACAGGCTACCTCCCATGTTTTGCAAGGTTGTGAGTGAGAGATGGACCCCAGTTTACATCATGTCAACTTCCTTGTCCCATTTTATATTCTCCATCACTGTTCAATTTGGCTAAGGGCATTAAGCCTGACCATGTTTCCGTGCATGCAGGATAAATGATGCTCTCAAGAAGTGATGGGAATGTTGCTCAGATGCTTTTAACCATGCTGACACGCTTCTTATTATGCAACCTTAAAATACCACAGTGTCAGTGGAGGATGAAATTCTTGCTGTCTGGTGCAATTGTGTATTGCAAAAATCAAAACTAAATTGTTTTGGTTTCAACGCAATTTTATGTAAACTTTGCATCCACTCCAAAAGGATGTGAGGACTGCAAAGAGAAATATGCAGGAGTTGGAAAATAGAGAAGGGTCTGCTGTTGCTTTTGTGCATCATCTTTTCAATTACATGAATTATGCAACGTTTTACACTAGCTTCCCATCTTCCCGATGGCACAGGATGAATAGTGTTAGGGACTAGCATCAGATTTGTGAAGTAGATATCTGTGTCCAAAGACACCCAAGCCTTTTTTTTCCCCAGGAAAAGGAGACAACATTATGAATGAAGCAAGGAATTACAGATGGAAAGATGAAGCTCTTCCCTTCCTTTTCTCTAGAGTCACTGCATAACAGTAGTTTGTAGCCAAATACTTGAGCTGCAATATTCAAGGGAAGCTTCTAATAATGAATGCAGAGTTTTGGAGGGTTTAGAAAGTGACCCCTGTAAGTCCTTTGCAAATTATTTAGAGCACGCATGACGATGATTTGAGACATGCATTGAACAACTTCTCATCTGACTAGTAATGCAAAGTATCCCAGAGAAGTTAAGTTTCTGCTATTTCCAGTATTCAACATAAGCTGATGCTTCTGATAATTTTGATTTTCTATTTCTCTCTGGTTTTGTGTCCGGTTTAAATGTAAGGACATTCCTTTTTGAAGGTATGGAAGCAATGTCACAGTACTGCTGGTAGACCAGACCACTGTAAACAGAAACTAGATGAAAGTGTCCATGTAAATGTTTATTTTCTCTCCTCAGAGCATGGCTTGGGCACTTCATACTCATTAGAAGATTGGATTTAAATCCTTATAAATTATTCATGCTGGTGACTTCACCTTCTAGCCTCTCAAGCTCATTGACCTCCACAACTGTCCTTATCACTGGCTTACTATTTTGCTCTTCTGCTTTTCTTTTCACTATTGGGTCTGGTGAATTCCAGGGAGAAACTGCCTTATGAGGATGACCCTCTCAGTTCTGCACTTGAGGCCATCTACTTCTCCCTTCACCAACATGTTCAACTTGAGCTATGTGTGTTGCCATGGAGAAGCATCTGTGAGGATGGTAGATACCACATCTAACCAGTGCAGAGGAAGGCTCTACCACATTTGTGGATAAGTGATTCTATCCAGCCTATGCAAGCAGATTTTTTCCAAAGGCTTATAACTTAGCCAAATCTGGGCAACTTTTAATAAAAACTTTTCTCCTGCCAAAATTTTAAGTCCTTTTTGCAAAACATGGAGGCACTGGAGCTTTTTAATGAAACAGTTATTAAAAAAAAAAAAAAAACTAGGAATAATAACATGTTTTTCTCTCAGTTTTTCTCAGAAACAGCTGAACCAGTTCAGTCTGATTTATTTATTTGGGAAAGAATCAGCTGAGACAAACTTCCAGCATGGGAAATTTCAGCCCAACTGGTTCGCGTTTCTCAAAGTTTGGCAAATTTTAATGCAAGTGGAAATATTTTTACACTGAGAAGTCACAGGCAAGCTTACATATCAGCAATGTCCTTGCTTAGGATAGAAAAAGACTGTATATATTAATTGCTTTTTCTTAATGTTTCAGGTTCTTTGAGTATATATTGCTCTACAAAGATGCAGTGATGTTTCAGATTGAACAAGTTACAAAGCTTTGCTCAAAGATTCCTCTGACAGAGCCATGGGATCCATATGATATTCCTGCCAATTCAACGTATGAAGATCAGTACTACATTGGGGGACCTGGAGATGAAGTTATGGTACAGGAATGGTCTGACAGAAAACCAGCCAGGAAATGTATGTGCCTGCATTTGTTTGATTTTAATAATAATCAGTGTCTCTTCTGCACAGGGAAGAATAAAATTATTCGTGTTTCACCCCAGCTTTCCATATTTCTATAAAGTTCTCTGAAGAAGTAATGAAAATGCCCTGTGGACAGAATATAATTTTAATAATAATGCATTTTTTTAGGAAAATGTCATATCTCAGCAGGATTAAATATTTTCAGGGGACTAGATTGCATTGTATTTGGTATCATACAGAGTTTGGCATGGAATAGCATCATTTCATGTCTGAATCTGGCAGCCTGTATCCAAAATTTATCTAAAGAAGAATTGGTACTATAATTTAGGGGCACACTCAAACTGGAGTCTGTGTAACAGAATCAAAGCAGGTTTTCTGTCAGTGTTTGTCTACACATGGTTCTGCAGCCACTGAAATGTGTGCCTAAATTTTGTTGTCCTCTATACTGGTAAGAAATATCTGCTTGCAAGGCTTAGTTCTGCGCTTGGCAGCTGAACTCTGAGGCTGAATTTTCCAAGGTATAGTATGTTAGATTTGGAATGCATATAAATTTACCAGCATTTTGGCTTCAGTTTCATCTATGGTTTATTGATGACCCAGACAACTATAAAAATAATTCTAAAACCTCCTTGAAATTGATGAGACTATTCAACTAATGCAGCTCTTACAGTTATGGTCATGTAATATATAGGCTGGTTATGAACTTGAGCATTTAGCTAGAGGAAATATTTCTTTCTTGAGTAAAAGTAGAACAAATGAAGTAGAGAATGAAGGATAAGATCATTAGACCTCTGTAACTAGGTTGATATATCCTCTGATATTCTGCAAAAGACAAGTTATCACTCACTCCAGTAATAATTTTTTTCCAGATCTGATATTTTTGGAATTTTTTTGGAACTTTATAACCAGATACACTCAATTAATGATGTGTGATTTTTATCCTGTATTATTTTGTATCTCCGCTTTTCTGTGCGATCATTCATAAACATAATGTCTGAAAGTTGCTATCTACCTATATTCTTTTCAGCTAGAATTGGTTTGGATTGTAAAATTATATTTCTTTTACAATTAGAAAAGTTTTAGGGGAGATACAGGCTACTTTGGTAGTATCATATTTAACCATTATTTTTTATTTTAAATTCTGAGAGAAGACTTGTTCAGTAGAAGGTTGCCTCCATTTCTGTGTACTCAAAACCATATTAATTGAGGTCAGAATGTTTTTGTATATTAGCATGCTCAAAAGAGGTATATTCAAATATTGCTTAGCATGCCACCCTTTCTTTGGATACAGTACATGTGTGTTTCATGTCACCATCTCTTTATTTCTGGTAATGTGGTTGTGGTACAGCCTGTGACACAAAACTGAAAGTACTGAAAATAAGTGTGTATGATTGCTGGGTGGGAGAAAGTAAGTGTCCTCGGGACTAGAAAAATTGGTTACAGGAATTCCTCAGCAGAACTGATTTACAATCACAGTAGGTAATTTTAACATTGTGAGTTTCTGTTACCAAGAGATTTGAAATGCCTAAAACAACAGATTGAAGTATGATTGAATGGGTAAAGAATGATCACAGAAGGTTAATAGAAGAGAGATAAAAGCAAAGGGTATTTAAAGGAAACCACTTCACCAGTATTACTGCCACTGCCTAAATAGCATAGTGGGGAAGGTAGAGGTGATAACAGAGAAAAAGGGGGAAAGAGAGCGAGGGAACACCTCTGACGTTAGCACAATGTGGAATTAAACTGAAGTTAAAAAAGGGACAGACTTGCTACATCATGTCCTGGAGGAGATCAGCATTGAGTGTTTTCTTGAGATAATGAACTGCTAGAAGTGCTTGAAAAGAATAGAAATTTTAAAAAATTACAATGAGAATCTGAACAGACAATGTTAAAGAGAAGCAATGCATTAAAAGAGACTGACATCATCATGACCCATTAATCTTGTTTTGTCACCTAAAACTGTCACATTTCTGGTTGGTTACAGTGGAATCCTGGGTTGGCATTTACACCGTCAAAGACTGTTACCCAGTACAGGAAACCTACACCAAGAACTACAGTGTGACAACCTCCACTCGCTTCTTTGACATCCATCCGGGCATTGTAGACCCCTCCATCTTCACCCCACCCAGCACCTGCCAGACAGCCCAGCTGACAAGGATGAAAGATGAATGCTGATTATGGACACTGGCTGCCCTGTGCAAACACATATTAGCCAAGAGGATGGTTATTAGTAGTCAGTTGTTGACGTCTAAGCTGATTTTTCAAGCTAATTGTTGCTCTTTTTGGAATTTTTGTTAAGTTTTGAGAACAAACTTGAGAGACAACATAAGCATATAACTGAGTAAAATATATAAAACAAAAGATACCTTTCAGTCACATTAATCTGCTCAGTGATGCATTTGCCATATTATATAGTTACCAATAAGATAATATTTCTATATACTATTTATTTAAGGTTGGTTTTTCCTTTTGCAAAGATTTCATTTATTTTTTCAAGAACACAAAGCATAAGCAGACAGCAGCAATGGTACTGTCTAGAAGAAAAAGCTAAATTTTGATGTCATTTTTATTGTTGCTCTTGGAAACTTGAAAAGAAAGGTGACCTGTGTAAAACCTCATCCCTAAGTAAAAAATATAATTTTTAATGATACGCATCAAAATTGTGTAAATTTGTTCTTTAGGTTTCATTTTGCTTTGTGTTCTGTTTTGGTTGGTTGTTTTTTCTTTCTTTCTACTCTTCAGGAAGCTAGTAGTCAATTTTTGAGCTAAGTTTTGTTCTTTCTGAAAAGAAAACTGGCATAGTTTCTTTTCATGTAGTGCTTGCTGACATGCCAAAAATTACTTTTGTGTTTCTTGGGAGAATGGTGTGAAAGGAAGTGAAGGAGGGAGTGGTACACCTTCAAAAAGAAGTAAGCTGAAGTTTTTATGCATCTCTCTTTTGGAGAAGGCTTCCAGTAGGGTGTGATGAGACAATTTTACTTCAGCACTCAATTTTCAAGGCAATACTAGTTTTAACCTATGCAAAGGGATGCACTCTAAACTTCTTTAGTGTTTTGTAACTTCTTTCAACAGTCTTTAGCGAGAGTGTGGAAACACCTTTATAATTCCAGAGAGGTTTGAAAAAAGAAAAGCTGTGCTTCATGCATAGTTAGTAAAGGCTGAATCAGCATTAACACAGTACCCGGTGGTTGAGCTGGAGAGAAAGACAGAGCCTGTGACCTGTGTAGAGAGGCGGAAGGGAGGAATGTGAGACACAGGTTTTAGATGTCCTCTGTGCAGTGTGGCAGCAAGGCACTGTAATCTAAGCAGACATGACAATCTTGCTTGCTTTTGCACCCACTCCATTGATGCCTGTTTTATTTGCTGTTTCATCAGCATCTCAATCTTATTATCTTCACATAACCAAAAAAGTGCAGGGAGTGCACATATTTTGCATTAGAAAATTCAAACCAAACCTTCATGCACCTTTGAAACTCTCACAAGTGTGATAAATTTTACACTTTTACCAAATGAGATTAACTGGTTTATTTTGTAAGGTATGTATTTTATTTATTACTTGAAAATAAATTTAAAGACAGATTCTTGTACTCTTACGCATGTTGAGTAGTAGTTTGCTCCAGAAGTCATCTGGCATAAACATTTGGAAGTTTGGTGTCTCCACAGGAGAGATGCTGGGAAGGCCTTTAGTACTTTATATCCTCACAGTTTTTTGTACGTAAGCAAGAGGGACAGTGGTTGTCTTTCTTTCAGAGTCATGGTCAGAATGGCATTTTACTTTGCCGCATGCCTAATGGAAGCATATATACATACCGGTAAAAATTTAGCTAGTTCATTAAAAATTTCTTTTGGAGAGGGTCATTTTACTGAAACATGCTAATGGAAAGAAGGATTTGGTTTCCTTGAATTTAGAGTGCACTTATTCTATACGCGCCTTCTGTATCTTTTGTGTGACACTCTAAATGCTAACTGCATATAGTTCTCATTAGGACAATGATTAACATGCATTTCTTAATATGTGTCTTGTTAGAATTTGGAAAACAATCTGGCTAACGAGCATGAAGCTGTGGTACTGAATCGTTTGGGATGACTTTGTTGTGGTTGAGCTGATAGCTGGGTAATCAAGGTTGTCTGTATTATGTTTTGCTGACAGTGATACGGTTTCTAGCAATAGCATTAAATGTTCCTTTAAATATGAATTTGAACATTTGCAAAAGTCTGGTGCGCAAAAGTGCTTTAAAAATTTTGCACTGACTTGCAGGGCGATTTTATATGGCTAAATGTGTTCCTCTAAAACAATGCTGTTTTCTTCATATTTGCGCTCTACAAATCCAATGCAGAGAATTGTCAAAGAGATATCAAGCAGCAAAATTTAGGACTACGTATTTTGAATTAGCCACAAACCAAATATGAGGCACAACATGCATATGCCTGGTTTGTTATCTTTGTTATGATGTGCTTTGGTTTGTTGTGTACCACAAGAGACATTTTGTCTTTAGGCAGCTAAGCCAGTGACTCAATGAGAAGGAGTATAAAAGGAATATGAAGTAATTATATAGTATGCTGCTACAGTTGAATTAAAACGGGGAGTTCATATGTCTGATAGTCTGGGAAACTTGTTTATCACAGTTATTTGGTGAAAAATTAATAATAAATTGGTATTTACATGAGTTATATTGTATTCTGTGGGGTCACAGCAAGAGAACCTGATATATTCAAATTCTATAGTAATAGAACCTGAATAGTCTGTGAGGCAAAGCTTATTTTGCGAGATTTCCAATGTTTCCTGGTTTCAGCTGGGCCAGAAATAGTGTAAACAAAGATATGCCTGCCATATTTTTGTGTTTCTGCTTGGAGTCTTCACTGAAAGCAGGATGTGTAGAAACACAACATTGTTTAATTTAACATTAACCAAACATTCCTGAACCTCAAAGGAAGGTTTCGTTTGAGTTTGGGGAGGAGATCTGAGCATTTGGTTCAGTTCCTATTTTAACAGTTGGCTTAATTCTCATATTAGGGACAGATTTTCCTGCCTCGAGCCATGCTGCACACCATGGAAATGCTGCCATTTACCTGGGAAATTTACCAGGAAATGCCAACCATCATGAAGAGCATACGAAGAAACACAATAATCCATTGTCAAAGTCAATTTTAGTCAATTTTAGTCAAGAAATATCTATAAACAGTATGATATTCTTATTTTGGGACATTAACAAAATCAGTGTATTTCTCACCTTGAAGTTTATTTCATTTTAGTGGTTGCACTTACTCCTTGCAAACTTGCATCTCTTTTCCCACCACCGTTTACTTCTTAATGTCAGTGAAGTCCACATCCAAACAGTGTTTGCAACTCTCACTTGCATTTATTTCAGTAGGAGTTGAGCATCTAAATACCTGATAGGTCTGAGCTAGACTTGACCTATTTATTTTCCCAGCAGTTCTATCTCAAGGGCAAGGGCAGTGCCAACCATATGTGAGCAACATGCACTGAACTACGTATGGATGTCAACAGAGACGCCAGAGTTGGCTCGTGTGCAATTGCTGATGGCCCAAAATACTAGTCCCAAAACACCATTTGATGAGAGGTCTTGTCTGTTGTATCATATCCTGCATCTTCTGCATCCTGATGCTGTAGGCAAAATGCAGGATGTTCGCACATGAAAGGCACATCACAAGAGCATCAGTAGCTTACTCCCTAACTATAAGGAATAACGATTTCAAAAGGGTACCCATGCAAATAGACTGAGGTCCCTGGCTATAAAGATCTGGAGTTCACAGTCTTTCCAGGAGGCTGCATGTATGGCATGGACTCAGACACTTAGAGATTTATTCTTCACATCTGCTTTGGCATAGGAACAAATGGAGCAAGCTTGGAAAATTTTTTAAACAATCAAAGCACTTACTACTTGTAAAGGGAGAGGAACAAAACTAATGATCCAGTCAGTAGTCATAGAAAACTGTCAGAAATGTAGGACAAGATGCTGCTCTGAAGATTTTAGCATAAATTTCCAAACACGTGCTTTGAGTGTCTACTGATTCAACACACTCGAGGGCAAAGATCCCTCTGGTTTGATATGACTTTCAGCATAGAGCCTGAAACTGCATCCTGAATGAAGTCATGCATATATCTGCAGTATGATATTTTGTTTCAAACAAAGACAAATTGCCTTGCACCGTGCATTTTGCAGGTGTGAGTGCATGACTGATGACCTGTATGTTTATCTACAAGAATGTGTGTGCCTTCAAAAGAGTGCTGTTTTTGAAGACTGAAGAATTAATCTTCTCACCACTACATTAGTAGGAATCTACTTCAGATTCCTTTCTTTCCCACCCTGCAGGGTAGGAACAATTATTCTGCTTTCCACTTGTTCTTGCCTTCCTGGTTGCAGTAACAGTGGGCCAACATCACTGCCTCCACCAGTGATGCCCTCAAAGGCCTGGAGGCATTGGGGCTATAGCACCAATATCATGGAAGGTTCCCAGCCCCTGCCTTAAGACATGGAATAAAATTACGTGTGCATGTTACACGTCTGGGCTTACCCTTTGTGCCCCTGCACACTCACTCTGTGCACAGGGATGTTGCTCATGCCCTCAGACCCAGTCATCACCATTAATTTGGCTCAGCGCAGGCTTCTATGACGCCAGGCAAAGGGGCTAGTGAGCAAAAGAGAAGGAGAGGAAATGAAAGGAAAACCTGCTGGGCTCACCCTGCTCCCTGCCAAAGTTTTTCCCACACTTGCTCAGGGCTGATAAACAGCTTTGACGTTCCTGAAACAGCAGCAGCTGAGTTGCCAGCTCAACGTCACAGCCCATGTGACACTGAAAGAGAAGGTTGGGTTTCACCCTCTGCACTAAAATTATGCTTCAGGCTAGGCCAGTAACTCAGGGGTTTTTTCCATGTAGAATGAATGCCCGCTCTCATCACCTCTGCCACTGCCATCCCAGCCTGTCTGGCAAGGGTTTGTGCTCATTCCTCCTGCCCCAGTCCTGCAGTCTGTTACAGCCCCCTGTGTGGCCAAACAGTGTCCTTCAGCCTGTCCCCACTGTCCCATCTTCAGGTCTGTCAGGGACCTCACTGTACCCACACACAGGGCAGGCAGGTCTTCTCCACTTTCCTATAGGGCTTTTAAAGTTGTGGAAGAAGCCTTTCCTGTCTGTCCATTGCCATGGCATTTTGAAATTAATTTTTTATGTGGTTTCTTCACCTGTTTCCTCTTTTTTTGTATGGAGCTGCTTCTGTTAATTTGATGGGGCAATTTTTCATATGGGTGTTGAGTTTGGGGTTTTTTTACCACAGATTTGGTGCCATGTAGCAACCCTTGTTTATTGCTGCAATACCCCATAAAAGTAACTTATATAAAGAAGGACATTCTTGATGTTGACAGCAGTTTGCACTGGCAAGAGCACAGGAGGTGGAAATGCTGAAAGTAATGACGAGTGACAGTGGAGATATCCTTACTGGTGGCCCAAGTGACTACCAACTATGATGACAGTGTTAAAACTCTGGTCTCTGCACAGTCTGTAGACACTTAACCCAGGAAATATATCACATTTCTCCAAAGGAGATGAGGAACTATTCTGGGCAGCTCACATTGCTTTTACTTTATTAAAGTAAGACCCTGTACTAAATCCTGTATGCATGACAGTAATTTTTTCTTGAGCA